CACGAATAGCTCAAATTCCTCTCGCGATTGACGGGGCCGAAGGCCGGCTCCGGGAAAGAAGACTCTATCACGCGGGTCTCAGTGTTCCCAAATGACACTGTCTTCCGCTTGACTGACGGACATGCCATATCGAATGATGCTGCACAAGCGAACGCAAAGTCTCCAAAGGAGGATGCTGTCATTGCCTGAGGGTTGCGGCACGCCCCTCTCAAAAATCCGAGGGCGTTGGCGCCGGGCTGTCAACCCGCCTTGATGTCGGCGCGGGCTCAGCAGGCGCAGGAGCGGCAACAGAAGTGCTCTCAGCAGGAGCACCAGGCTTCACATGCTTATACGGACACTTATCACCTCTTGTGCAGGATCCACGGGCATAGTAGAAGCATATGCCAGACTCCTTTGATATCGGTGACTGGGATCGAGGCGGGAATCCTTTCGGCGAGGAGCTTCTGCCCTTGAGGTTGTGAGAGAACTTACAACCGCTTCCTCGCGTACATCTGCCGTTCTTGAAATCGTAGCAGATTTCCCGCCCTCGTGGAGATCGTGACGCAGGGCGCGTCGGAGCAGGAGCGGCCCTTCCCGGACTGCGCGGCGAGTATCGCCTCGGCGAACCGCGCCTCGGGGAGGATCGTCTGGGCGACGAGCGCCTCGGCGAGCTCCTTCGGTAGGGACTCCCTCTTCTTGAGTCTCGGCGTCCAGGAGACCTAGATCCCCTCTTGCTTCTTGAGAAGGATCTGCGTGGGCTACCATGTGCAGGTGCAGCATACCGTCTTTGCGCAGAGGTGGATCGAGTAGCGGTGTACATCTTCTCCTGGTTGCGACGCCGGCGCCAAGTTGTAATCGCATTGACGCAGACAGTCCGCAAATACGCGTAGTTCCGGACAGACACGTCCCTGTCCCACAACTGCATATCGAGCTCGAGACAGCGGAACTCACGTACCTGCTCATAGAAGAGTGCGCAGAGAACAGGATCCTCGGGACGATCGACTGAGATACCAGCGAGAACATGATCCAACCGATTGGAGAAGGCTTCTAGCCTCTCCTGCTCGGATCCATGAGTAAACCGATCAATCGTGGTCTTCATCAGATCGACGAGCTTGAAGGTCGAATCGCCAGTGACATGTGGTCGAAGGAAATCATACAACAACCACAAGATCTGCCTACTGCCGAGTCGCCGATTTATCGTATGCATGCGCTCGGTTTCGGTCTGGATCTTATTCTTTAGTGCAATGGATTTGACGCACTCGCGGAATGCAGAGTTGCATTCATTCTCAAGCATTCCGTACTTGCACTCATCAAGAAGGTCTTCATATCGTCAACCCACGAGAGTGCGTATCCGGGATCGTATGCGAATGCATTTGCAACTCGCTCCTTCATGTCGACGATCCAGCGCCGCAGCTGAGCGGGCTCCGGCTCGGGATCGAGTCGGAAGGACTTGCATTTCGCCTTCTTAGCCTCGCTCAGCGATCCATCGCCCTTGGGTCCACCGAATCCCGTATCGTTGGGACCGGGCGGATTCCCAGTCTGTCTCTCAAGACACACGAGACAGATTCTCAAAGGATCTCGGCAACATCCATTGCAACACGAGAATCGGCAAGATATGCACGATCGCCGCACGGTGGTTGGGAAAGTTCTGGTGCAGCGCTCGCACTGGAAAGTATCATTCCCACTCGGCCGGCCGGAGGGCCTGATGCTAGGCGGATCAAGTCCACCATCAGGCGGGCCATTCCCGTCAGGAGGGCCACCTCCACCGGGCGGGCCACTGGGCGGGCCACTGGGTGGTCCACCACCGCCACCAGGGCCGAAACCGGACCCATGGTGTCCATGTCCACCAAAACCACCACCATATGCACCCCCGTTATCGTTGGGGCCACCACCACCGAAAGATGCGCGGGCGGCGGTCCGCCTAATCCGGATGGCGCAGCACTGGGTGCAGGGGCGGATGTTCTACATCATCAGTGGCAGCAGGTCGAAGTGTTCCAGTGACGCTTGCGCTCGGTGCTAGCGTGAAGGTACCAGTCTCGCTTTGGAGAACAGGTGCACCAGAACCGCTGCCAATGAGATTGGATCGGCCAAGCATTGCATCATACCATCTTGAAGGTCCCTTTCCTGCCGGAACAGTTCGCGTATCATACGAGATCTGGCATGGAAATGTAGGGCTCCGCTTGGGCTCTGGAGCAAATCTCTGGGTTTCAGGGTCATAGCGGACGCCACTGCGAATGGCCAGATCATCATCGACAGGGAAGGGTCTGACACTTGGAGCTTGGCCGGATGTCGTTCCGGCGGCATTTGTGGACGGAACGGTCGGAATCGGAGATCTTCCTGAAAAAGAGGCAGACGTTTGGCCATAATTTTGTCGGACGGGCTCAACAGGATTATTTTGCCCGCGACTTTCAGGAGGATGATCATCAGCGACTCGTTGCTGCGCGCGCCTCAGAATGTCATCAAGATTGATGCCACTCGTCTGAGAGTGCACCGTTGAGGCCTTTTCAGCAGGCGCAGCATTGCATCCCGGCGGAGAGCCATGATCAATCGGACACAACAAAGAAGATCTCGGAATGGCTGTAGTCGGTCCGCCAGGGAATAGAGCACCAGGAACTGGCGGCAAGTCCGCGGGACGTGGGATATCCCCATCATGGTCACTGATGTCGAAGAACTGCGTCCGTTCCGGACGCGAAGGTGTCGACATGTCAGAACCACCCCTGCGGACATGAGAGCTCTCAAGATGCTGAATGCGAGCAGTGAGCTGATCGATGAGAACACGGTTACTCTCCTTATGATCGTAGAGAGCACGGCTCAGTTCGGTTCTAATGACCTCGATACGGTGAGTAGCATTCTGCTCAACCGTAGCGATGCGCGCCTCAGCATTTGAGATATTGATCTGAATTTGCTGCAGCGCATCTGGGTAATGCTTGATGTGGCGGATCGTCTCAGCAAGCTGCATGGATATCGATCCAGCACGCTTTTCGTTGAATCGGTGGATCCGCTACTCAAACTCAATGAATCGATCGTTGACCATCGAGTTGAGCCTCGCGAAATGCTCTTCAAGAGTTTCATGATCCGAAATCCGCCTTTCGCGGACGGAGTCCTGAAAGACCGTGTGTAGTTCACGCTCCTTCCTCATCTCGGCCTGTAGAAGCTCCCACATTTCTCGGATCTTGTCTTCAAGTGCTTCAGCAATGTCCGAGACGCCGTTCCTCAGAATATCGAGGTCGGCTTGGGTGTTGGACACACCCTGCGCGATCGCCAAAATATCGGTGGCGATACGCGCGGATGCTTCCGACCCAATGGCTTCATCGACCAGGGCCCTGACAGCGCAGGGACCGGGAAGCCTCCCGCCGTTATCGGTGGCGGGGGCAGCACCACCATGATCCGCCGCGGTAATCGTTGCGACGGAAACATGGGGTGCACCCGGGTGCTCGCTCATAGGCTCGTCGGGGAGCGAGGCTCCACCGCGGCCTGCCACCGGCCCATAAGAATCAGGGCGCGGTGGACGGAAGGACGCCGGGTCCGAAATCGGTGGACCACGGCCGTCCGGCCCGGACCCAAAGAGGGCCCGAGCGCCCTCTGGATCCCCGCGAAGGGACAGAGGACAAGACAAAGAATCGGTCGGAAGAAGGGCAGGTGCGGAAGCAGCAGGAGCAGCGGACGCAGAAAAGGCAGGCAACAAAGGCAAAGCACGAGCGGTGGCAGGAGCAGGCAGCATGCCGGCGTGCATCGTGCCAGGCGTTGCGAAAGCGGCAGCAGAGCATGGCAAAAGCGGCGCATGGTGCTGAGCTCTCTGATCGTCCTCAGCAGGCGGCGAAGCAAGCAGCGAAGCAGAGCGAGCGAGCGAAGCGTGCGAGGCGGGTGCAGTGCAGCGAGATGCGTGGGCACTATCATCGGGCTCCACGACATCCCGAGCAACTGGCGTCACTAGTGAAGAACCGACAGTCGAGGGGACACGGGGAGAACCGATCGGAGTCGCCATTCTCTCGGTGGCGTGGCCAATCACAAGTTCCGAACTTGGTCTGAGCCAGGAAAACGGTAGTGATCAGACACTGATTGGATCAGGCGGTCCGAGTGCCGAGCAGCAGCAGCGAAGCAGCAATCCACAATCGGATGCGGAGGCCCTACGGCTGATAACCTGTGAAAAGCGGAGGATTCCACTCAACTCTCGGTCACAAAGCCCAAGGCAGCCGATCGCAGATCAAAGCAAAGCAAGCGGTGCAAAGCAGGACAATCAGAGATTAAAACCGTAAGTTTGACTGCTCAAGACCGACCCTGTGTCAGGTCCAGCAAAAGGTCCGCTAGCGCCTGGGGGTTCTAGTGTTGCCTTTCCGCTGAGCGTCAAACTTACGGCTTTAATCTCTGATTGTCCTGCTTTGCACCGCTTGCTTTGCTTTGATCTGCGATCGGCTGCCTTGGGCTTTGTGACCGAGAGTTGAGTGGAATCCTCCGCTTTTCACAAGTGGAATATGCCTTGCTTGAGTAAGTTATACCCACCCACCCACCCACACACACCACCGAAAGGCAACCCCGAAGCCAGAATCAGAACACCAAAACAAGGGAAGAACACCCACACACCGACAAGTAAGTAGGTAAACCCTCCTAAACAAAAGTAAGCCAAAGCCTCGTAGAAATTCGTCTTCCGTCTTTACCATGCATGGAATGGACTGCCCAGCTTTGAGGAAGTGTATACAGCTTAGCATCTCCGCCTTGTAAGAAGAATCAGACACCCAGAGACTCCGAGACCCCTCAACTAAGGCATATATCTTAAAACATATCTAGGATCCCTGATATGATTCCAGGCACATTCTTTAATTAAGAGGTTTTGGAGGCTCTGGGCACAGCGCATTGGGCGGATCGACTACTTGGAGGATCACGGGACTTAGTAAGTCCGGTTATAAGTACCTCAAGTGGACGTATAAGTGGTTATAAGTATAGTTACCTTATTTATAACCCTAGTTACCCTAGTTACTAAGTCCCATGATCCTTTACGTATGAAGATGACAAGACCGAGCCGCTCCCGCGCGGCCGCCGGCCCCAGAGCCAGGAAGCACCGAGCTTCGGCCAAAGTACAGCCTGGCTTCTGGGTCGGTAAAAAGATGTATACATGTGCATAACTAGAGAAAGAGAGAGCGAGAGAGAGAGAGAGAGAGAGAGAACAAAAAAACAAAACAAGAGAGAGATGAAGACAGAGAGAGATAGATATGTTTTTATGGGTATTAATAAAGTTCTACTTGTGTACAGATTTATGTATATGTTTTACTTGGTTTACTTGTTTATGCTACCACATTCACATAGCGTATGCATTAACGTATGTATGCATATACGTATGTCCGTCTGTCTGTCTCCTTCTTGCTGAATATTTGCTGTGTCGGGTGAGGTTGCTGTGTTTTGTGCGTTTCGGAAGGACTTTAGGACTTGTGGGATTTGGAAGCGAGATTCTTCTTCGGTTTAGGCTGAAGTCTTTGATGATGGCAGCTCAGTTTCGGACTTCAGAATGGCGACACCATTGAAACGTGCTAACTGCTGAGTGCGGGCAATACCATGGCTCAGCTTCTTGTGATCGAGTTCTGTTCATGTCGCCCCGTTGCCAAAACCAAAATTTCAAGGCCTACATTTCCCAATCATGATTTGCAACAAAGCAGCCACAAATACATGCTCAAAGCCTGTGGAAAGCTCAGAGTTGTCAGCGAGACGTTTTTGTTTCTATCTTTTTCTGTGGAGCTCACCTACGATGGTTCTGCCGCGATGCATCTCCGCTTTGGCTGCCAAGCCATCAGCATGTCCGTCCGATGCCTCATGCGGGTTGGAGCATCGCAGGTCACAGGACCCTGAACCAGGCTCACAGTATCAAGCAGAACTAGCAAGTGACCGACAAGCTCCAGCTTTCAGATGGTCATGCTGCGATAAAAACACATTGCCACGTCGATCTGGGTAAGCTTTAGCAGCAACTGGCAATAACAAACAGTTAGCTTATTCCATCGCATGGGTCGTTGTCTCAATGTATTGCTGTTGCGAATACTCCGAGAAAGCCATGCCGGAATGCATACCCGAACCACCCAGAATCTTTAATAGGACAAGCTGCCAGCTGCGAGGCAAGGGCGTAGCTTTGACCTGAGTCGCGACATGTTTGCGTGACCGTTTGCTTCGGCATGATGCGTGGGTACGTGCCGACAAAAATTTGCAGCCAGCAGGCGCTCCTCGTGACGCACCTAGGAATCAATGCAACGCAAATGAGCTCTTCGCACTAGACTGCAGGCTGACTGCAGGGTTTCGACATCTAAGGCAATGCGTACAGTGCCCTATGATAACCGAGGACATGGTATACCGGTTGGATCTCACTGAATGACTTCGGGAACCTCGGATCTTTCAGGCTGACAAAATCCGCCCGAGAAGCCTACCAGGATTTGGAAGCGCAGCTCTCTGAGCAAAGACTATACGGATAAAAGCCGCAAAATTACAGCCGATGTGTGCTCACAACGTGAAATCTTATAGACGAAAGTTACGTCTTGATGGTGCTGCGCCGTGCTGCCTGCATCATGTGATCCACATCGACTGGCTGAGGAATCGGGCTGTGTTCCTTTGTGCGCCCACAACATCACACAAGCACATTGCGCCTTTCGCTGAGAGTTCTGAAGGATCTATGCGCTGCACGGCGACAGGTGCGACACCTTAACACAAATAGCTGTCCTGGGCAGCGTTGGATGCGACGGCCAAAACAGCTTCCAAAGCCTGCATTCAATGAAAGCGGTTGTTGCAGTTCCAACCAGCAGCTTCCCAACATGGGGACACCCGAGATATGCACAGTGCAGTCATCCTGGCCTCTATGCAACCCCCACGTACATTCCGAACCTCAGCTGCCGAATTTCACAGCATGTGCACGTGTTGAACCTCCCGAGTAGCTTGCAATGATCCTGGGGCACTGCCTTTTGCCTGACGGTGCCTTGTGTCTTGGGGGCTTGGGCTTTCGTTATTGCTATTTTTTGCTATCAGCAAAACATCAGACGATGCTGAGTCGTGAGTGCCGAAGGGTGGCAGGGACCGACATGTCGCCGCGGCGCTGAGCCGCCGAAATGCCACCGAGACGTTCTTCGCCTCAACTTAGAACGTAATTAAGCAGGAAAACAAACATTGGTTTCATAATGTTAATAGCTTGTAGACTTTGAACCCGTGGCGCTAACATCTCGAGAGCATATACAGTATCGCATTTACCGTGGAGCTGCCCCAGGCAAGACGGCCCAAAAAGCTGCCGGCAGCGGCCGCTGCAGCATACGTGGCTGACACCTGCAAAGAAGCCCCACCCTTCAAAGCACTGCAACAACAAGCACGAATATCAAGTGGGCAAGAAAGTCTGCATCTACACATGCAACACAAGCAACAGCTTCCTGTTGTTTCAAAGTGTGAAATCGTGCCGCGGAAATAAGTGCTTACAAGTGCTTACAGTGTGCCTCGGATAAGTGGTGCTTGCGAACCAACTGCACCACGGGGGAAGTTTCCGGCAGGGCCACCTTTGCAAACTGCGCATGGATGGGAATGGAGACACTTGCCGGTGCCAACCTTGCAACTGCTTGCAAATCCTGCAACTGGGTGGCCTCGAAAACACCCAGCTGCCTGCCAACGCCCCATAACACTGCACAGTCCTGCAACAAGTGCGATGCAATATGATGCAATCGCGTCTTATGACCGCTACGTTGAATTCAAGGTTGTCCAGCCCCGGACTATGACGATTACCACTGCTACCAGTCTATGGTGTTTCTCCGTATACACAAGAACCCCAAGGAACCCTAATTGAGAGAACTGCCCACGTCGTAACCGCCCGTGTCCGGGCAGCGCTGAAGCATGGACTCGTTTGCCAAAGCAGGCCTGGGTGGTGTCACTTGGGAAATGCTTGATTTCATGCATCATGCATTTTAGATACCTACAACAAAACTTTTTACCCTGCTTTGCAAGTAGAAGGAAAGCAAATCGACGAGTTTCAAGCCGCAACCGAGCTGCTGCAAACGCTCCGATGCCCGAGCGGGCGCAGAGCCCAACAAGTCGGCAATGGCGGCCCAAAACGTTTCCTTTAGGGTTTAGGGTTTAAGGTTTAACGGTTTAGGGTTTGGGGGTTGAGGGTTTAGGGCTTGGGGTTTTGACACGGCATCTGGTTGCAATGTGGGAACTTCCGAAGCTTCGGGGGGTGCCCATAGAAAAGGATCTCACTTTTTGAGCTTTAGGTTAGGGTCCCCTATTTTCGGAAATCTCCATATCATGACAAAGCCTGCGCTCGACTACTTTATGGGACATGGGGAGTCGCGGGCTGGAAACGCAAGCAAAATCAAGCAAGCGGCTGTGTTGGGTTGGATGTCCACGGCCTGGAATCACCATGCAAAACCCCATCGAAATGCAAAACCTGTAGCTGATGGTGTACTGCACAGATGGTATTCAAATGGTAGACTGGTAGACAAACCACACCCCAGAACTGAACACTGCACAAACAACAGTTCAACAACGCGGACCCAAACCATGTTTCAAAGTGGTGCGCCATGGCAAAACACCACGTACGAACGAACACCGAGACATATAGACTTGAGGCCTTTTTGGCACTCACACTCAGACAATACCAGGCAAGGTCAGTAGAAGGTTCTGTGCCCGTGCAGCTGCTTCTTGCGAACATGAGATCATGAACGAAAGCAACAAAAAATTGCATGTGTCTCTTGGAATGCATGTCGTGGCCAAGTGCTCATGTTCCATGAAGTCCCATGCCAAACCCATGCCTCAACCGCCTCAGCCACGGTTGCTTCGTCCGCCTCACTCGGCCGGGTGTCCAATGCGTCAGGTGCACAGCCATACCGCAACTATAGCTTCCGTGCCAAGCTGCAAAAGCCCCAAGCAGCACCAGCTGTTTCAGTGCTTCACCTCGCGGCGATCCCCGGAACACAAACAACATACAGCCGGCGCAGGACCACCCCGATCCATGTCGCCGATGTCGTCGCTCTCCGTTACAACAAAGCGCATGACAAGCCACTGGGTGGGAGAAGCAACTCCATGGATGTCGTGGCGTCATCGCCCATGCCGTGTGGTCCTATGTATCCTTTGTCTTTAACCCCAGCATCTCGCAACCCCATAAGGACGGCAGGCCGACGTCATCAAAAGTGAAAAACATGCTGGCAAGTAACATAATAAAGGTGCTAGCAGCACGTGATGTCAGGATGGAAAGTAACCGCACCCCAAAGTGCAATAAACGGGAATGACACAGTGTGAATTGCCGATGGATTCTACCTGTCGTTCGCTGCCGACACACATTGCCTTGCATGTTGTGGCCACACGGTGGCATGTCACGCTTGAGCCCATGGAGGAAGAAACGACATCAGTTGAAATTGAAAAGTTGCGTGAATTCAAGACAAATTCGGTAAAAACAATTAAACATCTAGATCGCTTTCATGCTGTGGAAGACCGGGGATGTCGCGATAATGAAAACGTTGGAATTCAGCCAACAAGCCGCAAGTTGTGTAAATGCCCGAAGGTGGTGTGCCGTCATGGCAAGATTTTGGCTCCGACGGTTTTCCAGTAAATTTCACAAATTTTCTTTGCGATTTGTGGGTACGAACCCGGCATGCTGCTCATGTTGCACATGTCGTGTTGACAAACCTTTGTATGTAAGTTGAAGTCGCGGACCCAACCCCGTTAACGAACTAGCTCCACCCCATATGCTCGCATGCATACCCATACATACATGCAACATGGATGTGATGCAAGTGCTGTGCCCGAGGAATTACGAGGAAAAGAAGGAAACGCCACTGGGCACAAACGAAACTTAAGATGATGAAGTGGCCCCAGCGCATGTGCGCCGGCCAACTTAGAAAAGGGTGCTTGGCTGGATGCAGCGGCCCGTCGAAACATGTCGCCAAATTGCTGCAGAAGGACAATGCGTTTGATCGCTGCAATCTGCATCGTGCGAAAATAATACTATGTTTGCTGAAAAGGGGATAAAGGGGGCGCTTTTTGAGGCTCGGTTCGTCTTTTTGTTCGCTATGGTTTACATTCAAGAACCCGTGAGCCACCGATGCTGGGACAGCTAAACCTTCAGCAGCGGCTATTTGGCATTTACACGTTTCCACGACATCCACCAACTCAGATTCCCGATGGCAGAACAGCTGTTGCGCAAGTACCACAAGCACAGCCTATGCCGGTTTGGCGGCAATGCGGACCACCGCAGCACGTAGGCAGAGATGCAGGCACTTTGCAGTGGTTGGGGGGGGCAGACCGAGCTCGGAAACGGGCAAGGAGCCGGAGGAAGGTAACAGCTTTCGCGCTCCACCTACCGCCGATTTCTGCCAAGCACAACTAGGCGGCAGCGTCCGGAGTTGCAGAGTTCTGGGTACGTGCGCTGCTTCGCCCGGCGAGCGTGGCGCAAGGCAGCCCCGGCAGTGCGCCTGGCCTCACGCCGGGGCTTGCCGTTTGCTGTCAAGGGAGAGACGAGGGTCGTGTCAACCGCAACGCCTGCACCTCCCTAGAACTCCGGTGTTATGCGTGCGAGAGAGGCTCCACTCGAACTGCGAGAGAGGCTCCACTCGAACGTGCTGCAGCACCTCGTGAAGCTGGTGCCAGTGTTGCCACCACCAACGTCTTGGTGCAGGACCTCAATGCTGCTACCAATACCCCAGCTATTACTTCTAGCCCGTTATGCCCGTTTTTCCTCCGCCTACTTCGACGTTTTTTTGTTTTTTTTCTCATTCTTGTTGCTGTTTAGATCGATAATCCGAGTACCACGACGAACACAATTCACACCACTAACACAACCAGTCATAGTTTCCTCCCTGTTGGTTGTCGGAATGGATGTTTGATTGAACTTTACAGTGCCTACAGTGCCTTTAGTGCCTTTTTTGGGTGGCGTCGAACACGAAAACGTTTCTTTTTCGGGTCTGGAAAAGACACGTTTCGATTTTTTTGCCACATCTTAGTTTTTTCCACGTTTTCGCGTTTCAAGTTGGTGTGTCGGTTGTGTCGGTCGCCTTGAACTTTGCAAGTCAAACAGGACCAGCTCCCAGGAAGGCACGTCCGTCCAAGTTTAAACCGCAAACAAGCCACAAGCCCTGGAGGCTGCCCGGAAGCCTTCCGGCCCACGCAGGTGAGCGGTGCCACCACCACCACCACCACCACCACCAGCACCAGCAGCACCAGCAGCAGCAGCAGCAGCACCACCACCACCACCACCACCACCACGACTACGACTACGACTACGACTACGACTACGACTACGACTACGACCACGACATACCACGACCACGACTACGACGACTACGACGACGACGACGACTACTACTACTTCTACTACTACTACTACGACGACGACGACTACCACTACTGTTGAATACTGTTGATGTAGGAGGTCTTGCACCCGTTTAAGTGGACAAGCCAAACAGACACGCCACGCCCGCTTTTCAACATTGGCCGGTCATCCTCGGAAGTGCCGTGGGTTCCAATGGCAAAAATTTCGCACCACCCCGGTATTCATCATCCTATTCACTTTTTTTTACCCACACACCTTTTTGCAACCATCCACGCGGTCCCAATGCAGCAGGAGCTCCAGCGGTGAGCTCATTAGGCAAGGCGGGAAACGAGGGGAGCCGGCTGTGAGGAATCAGCGAGGACATCGCTGAGCAAGGGCGGCTCGCCGTCAACATTGGCCGTATTGGCGATTGGCAGGGAGAGCAAGCTGGTAGCAAAAAACCTTGCTGCCGCGACCGTCAACAACCCCGACCATCGTGCCACATAGGCAACGACAGCCGCTGCGTGCTGCGAAGGGGCGGCATTGCGAGCCCGTGCTCGGGCCAAGAGCCGAACGAAGTTGGCTGCTTCTGCACTCCAGCGTCCGCCGACCTCGATGCCCAGCACGACCAAGCGACACCGCGCGGCACGGCTGAACTCCGGGTAAGTGCGCTCCTTAGACCTGCGAGCCTCGGCAAGGGCTGCGCCGGCAGTAGTGCCCCTGCGGCGGTGGGGCGCCCCAGCTGACGTCAGGGGGGAGACTAAGGTGGTGTCAACCGCGAGCTGGGAGCCACCCCACAAAGGGAGTCCGTTAGCAATAACCTGAACGCGCCTGTGATCATGCCTGGCAGTCTGGAGGTTGAGGTCGCGGACAAGCACATTCGTAGCAACAGCTGCGCCGGCTTCACGGCAGACACGTGCAGCGGCGCGCTCAAGGGGCCCTCCTCCTCCTCGTGCTCGTAGGGTGCCAGACCGCGGGCAAGCAGCGACATGATCACCCAACACATCAAGCGGACGCTGGCAGCGGCATCTGGCAGGGGCAAGCGGCAGAGGAAGGCGCAGGCGGCGGAGCAGCAGGACGCGGAACGGTGCCGAGTCAATGGCGAGCTCGGGGCCAGTAGGACGGACAGTGAGAATCCTGCCAGCGAAGGGCCCCGACTGCGAATCCAGCAGTGCGAGCTCGGCAAGGCCAACGCGGTGGCGATGCACAGCGAAAGCGAGATCATATTCACTTTCAATGTTAAATAGGGGGTGCGGGGTTACGCTCCAATGTCGTGTGACCTGTTAGGCACACATAGGCAAACGGTGCAGGATTTCCTCCATCAACCGACAAGATCCTTCTTGCTGAAATGACCAAAGTAGCCTGTGTCTTTACTGGGCTGTACCATGCTTCTTGTGACGGGTACCATCGCCATGCAAACCAAGCCCGATGCATGTCCAAGAATGCGATACGGCAAGCTTGTTGGCACGGCTGGTTGCGATCGGTACGGCCCAAGACCACACAAGCCGACTGTGGTTACAGGCTTCCAGGATGCGACTTTTCTTTTAGCATCTGAGGTGCCCGATACATTGCCTGCTGTTCACATCTTGA